AGTGAAAGGATAAACAAGTGCAGCTAATTCAGACCCACCAGACCTCCCCCATGAATTCCTAATTGAGCTTCCTCTGCCCATTGAATTCAGGTGGGGCAGATAGTTCACCAACCACAAGATTAAGGCCAAATTCATGCAGGTGTCTTGAAGCACCCTACTGATTGTTCCTTTCTCCCCATGGTCCATGCTTTTTCAAACTCTGATTCTTTTTTATTTAGCCTCTGCTAAACTGAAACATGCTGGCATTCTGAGTCCCACCCCACTACCACCCCTGCGCCCTCAGCCCCCTATCATGTGCTTGCTCTGGCTTCCTTGTCTTTGCTTAGATCCTCACCATGAAACTCACTCTAGATATTCCTGGGTGGCTCTCTAGGTCCCCCTTCTCCCAAATGGTGCCTTCTATCGACAAGGCATTGGAAACCTACCATCTGGTTCTCCAAGGCATCCAGCAGTTAACAGTGGTGCAGGGAGGAAGGCATTTGAAAGAGGTGTGCAGAGAGCATAGATTGTCTTCACTATTCTGATGTTGAACATTGCAGTTGCTTTCAGGTAGATAGAGAGTTGAGACTCTTGAGTGCTGATGGCAACTAAAAAGGGGGTGGGGGTGAAATTCTAGTCACTTTCCTCCAGCATGCGAGTGGTCCTTAAAAATATCACCCTCAAGCCTCCAAGTATGCTGGCTTCTAAGAGATGTTTCCTGAGACAGAATGTACCTCTTGATCAGGGTAAGTGATGAAAACATGTATTTAATAAGGGAAGGGGATCATGGAATAACTTGTATTATTCATACTGTGGATCAACTCCCCCACTGTGCTAATGGCTTAGCCTCTAAAGTTTCCAGAATCAAAATGATCAGGGATGCCAGTTTCTAAAGGGTGAAGGAGGACTCCAATGACAAGCCAAACAAAATGTAGATTTGCTGCTGTTCTTACCTTAAGACGGCTTTTTTGAAAGACTGGACAAGGGAATTTGTAATTCCTCCTTAGTGCCACCTAAGGAGCTTCCACAGTGGAGGTGGGAACCTGGTCGGGTGTAGCAGCCTGAATGGGCATAAAGTTCACTGCATCTACAGTCCACACTGGCTGGCTTCAGACAAATCCTTTTGAGTTTTGGATGAGCTGGGGCTTTCCCAGGTAGAGGATGGAGGGCGTCTCTTCTTGGACAGATAGCCTTGTGTGGGGGTATGCCTACTGACTAAAGAGCTCATTAGGAGGAATAAATCAGTTTCATTGTTTGGGTCACTACTGAGAAAGTCCCAGACATCTCCAATTCCAAATAATGGAGCCTAGGATTGGAATATAAAAGATCAGTTAGAGGCAACATGATAGAATGGTATAGGCCTAAGTAGTGAAGCCACACAGACATGAATTTGATTGGATCCCTAATTGTACAATGTCAAGCTCTAAGACTTTTGGACAAGTCACTTAAACTCTCTGTCCTCTGCTTCCTTAGCTATAAAATGGGGGGGAAAATCATAACTACTATTTTTTGAAGTGATTTCTGTGCTCCACAACCCAATGGGGCAGGTCACATTATTATAATGACACTCATAGAATTGCCTTAAGTAAAGCACCTGGCACAGTGTCTGGCACATAGTAGGTACTCAATGACTAGTGTTTTATTCTCCCTCATCCCATACATTACTTAGACCAAAATAATTCTGCTCTCTGAGGGAGATGCCTTTAGACAAAGAGGAATCTCTTCCCTGGACTTCTTCCCTGATAGACTATTGGTTGATTTCCTGGGAGCAGAGATGATTTTCCTCCTCTAAACCCAGTACTTCACCTACTGGCATTTTTCTTGGTGCTTGGAGAGGAGACAAGAGAAGACACAGGCAGGACATGTCTGGGTTTCACTGATCCTGAAAGGAGACTCGGTTCTTTTCAAGGGCTTTGTGACAACAGCCTACCCCTACAGGCTCTCTTCTTGCTTGGGATGCCCAGAAATGAGTTGACAGTGCAGAAGGCGATTTGCATCTTGGACAGGTTCCACATCAGGCTGTTAATTCCCTGGGTCCTGAGCTTGACGCCCCAACAGGAACTGGGCAGCCCAGCCCTTAGCAAAGAACAGTAGGACTGCTCAGAAAGCCAGTGTCACCAGCTCCAGTTCAGGCATGTGCCAACGGACTTGATGGGTGTGTACAAAAAACAGAGATGCTGGCTCTGGAGGCCTAACTTTCTGGAAACATTTCTGCTGAGCTTCCTGGCATCTCCTCCCCAGCCCCTCCTCCCCATCTACCTGGCCAGCTTGATTACCCTAGCAAGATGGGGACAAGGCCAAGGGGTGCCCTTCTGGGGAAGGGGCAGCGACGTTGAGTTCACCAGGCAGCCAAGGTTCTGTTAGTATCATTTGGGTTACTGCCCTCAAAGTTTTGAGAGGCAGAGTCTGAGCACATTTCTTATATTTCCAACTCTACCTCATTTGTTAGGGCTATACTCAGGGTTTGCTAGAAGCTGTTAGGGAACCCCCAAAGGGATCTTAAATGAGCCTGCCTTGGTATCAGCATCAGACACAGTAGCAGCCAACCGCCATAGAAATAAGTCACATTATTCTAAATCGTCTCTTCTCTACAGAGTTTATGTAGCTTATAGAGAAACTACATGGTTTCTGTGAATGTGAACTTATGCTTACACGTACCTACTCTCATCTCTCTAAAAACATACCACCTCTGGGCCTTTAAAAACATATTTAGCCTGAAATTTGCATGAACCCTAGAAGACTTCCTTGAAACACTGATGGGGAGGCTTTCCTCTCTGTTGGGCCACATTTGATGAGCCTATGTGATAAGTCATCTTCAGCGGAAGAACCAGGGCCACCTACTTCTCATTCTAACTGGCTGGCTGCACGCTTCCCCTCTGCAGCAACATTCACACATGCATACATACATGCATTCATGGAACTAAAAATAAATAGCTGCTGATGGGCTGCCAGAAGGTGTCCTCCATGCTGAGCAGCTGTCCTCTGTCTCCCTTTAGTAGGCCAGGCTTGACCCAGACTCGAGCGTTGAGGGTACAGGAGGGGCTTAAGCTTAACCCCAAATCTCCAAGGCAAGTTACAAAGGCTAGGAGCCCCCGAGGAGGGAGATGAGGGTATTAAAGATCACACTGATTAAAGATCAGCCCCGTGACCACTGTCTCCCAGGCTTGTGCCCCAGATCCTGGTAGTAAGCTCGGGAAAATTGTTTATTGTCATCAAGGAAAACCACTGTCTGGGAACATTGATAATTAGGGTTAATAAAGGAGATGACCCATGCATCGAGCCATGACTAAATAGTTCTCTGCTCTCCTCACTCCCCCAGTACAGAAGTTATGCAAGGTGAATCTAGGATGCTGTGTAGATTTGGGGAGGAGGATCTCTGTGTATGAGATGTTGTTCAGATCTTCCAACATGCAAGGATTCTTCCCACCATCATCACCACTAATCAATAAACCCTTTGTCATGCTGAGGTGTGGCATGTCTTCTGCTGAAAACCTCAGATTCAGATACGACACACTGAAACACGTATACACACACACACACACACACACACACACACACATTTTGTCACTCTCAAGAAACAAGCTCCGTTCAAATAGGTTTAAAAATAGCACTAATCCACTGAGCTCATTTTTCAGGGACATTTATGAAGAAGACGAAGAAGAAAATAAAGGATCCCCTGATCTCTGAGAAGGAGAAAGGGTAAACCAACCATCACCTAGTCTTTAAAAGTCCTGATTATGTTGCTAGAGACTAAGCATTTTCAGTTTTGGTTGAATTTTCTCCTCCTCTACCATTCAACAGAAGTTGTTTATTTGCTAATACCCTGCCATCTGGGTATTTATAGAGGTGGGCTTCCTTTTGGGGTGATGAGAAGGAAAAGCTGCAGCAGCAACACCCTTTTTCTGTCCCCCC